AGGCGTCTTTTAATTTCGTGGCTGCTGTCACCATCTGCAGTGATCATGGAGCCCAAGAAAGTAAAATCTCTCACTGCCTTCATATCTTCCCCTTCTATTTGCCACGAGGTGATGGGACCAGTGGCCATGATCTTATTTTTTTTTTATGTTGAGCTTCAGACCATTTTTTGCACTCTCCTCTTTCACCCTCATTAAGAGGTTCTTTAAGTCCTCCTCACTATCTTCCATCAGAGTGGTATCATCTGCATATCGGAGGTTGTTGATATTTCTTCTGGCAATCTTATTTCTGGCTTGGGATTCATCCAGTCCTGCCTTTCGCATGATGTCTTCTGCATATAAGTTGAATAAGCAGGGAGACAATATACAGCCTTGTCATACTCCTTTCCCAATTTTTGAGTATTAGTGAGTAACTGACGGTATATCTTCCAGGTGTTCTCATGCAATTTAAAGCCCAACTCAAAAATACATGAATCAAGCTGGCTCAAACTCCTTTTGGGGAAAACTATGACATAAGGGCTATTCTGAAGTGCCTTTTCCCTTTTGGCTTGAGTTTGGCTGGATGACCAAGCACACAACTGGGCATGCAAGCATTTCTTTGACTCCATTAAGCAGAGGAGTATGGCACTCCACCAGGAGGATAAGCAGATTGGCTTGTCTCCTTACTTAAACTGCATGAATCCTACAAGTTCTGGCTGTTCTATTTTATAATGCAGATTCTGAGTGAAAATACATTTTAGAGGTGCCTAATTTCCTTAAAAGTAATCTGTGGGTTGTGTGTTCTGTAGCCATTTTAAAACTCCAAATTAACACAGAAACAGAACACTGGGGACTGGCTAATGAGGAATGGAAAGTTTAATGTGTTGAATTATGCGTTCTGTTCCATTAGGACTTGACTTGATAAGACATCTCTATGCCAGTTAGCCTTACCAGTGTCCTTTGCTCCAGGAGAGAGTTAGATGGGTTTTGTCTTCAAGGTCTTTGCAATTTGTACAAGCTGCTGCAAAGGAATGTATTTTCCTTTTGCAAAGCAAAGCGCTCAAACATAGTGGGCTCAGAACAACTGGCTGATTCTTTAATGCCACAGAAGCTCCACCATATTCTTCTAATCTTCAGGTGCAACAAACCATCAGCCATTGTCTGTGAAGATTCTCAGTCATCCAGGTGAGGTCATCTGGCAACTGAGTCATGGCAACTGGACTTCTTTCTTGTTAGGTTGAAATGTTTCACAACTCATCCGAGACTGAAGAAACTACTTGGATAAATGTTTCAACCTAATAAGAAAGAAGACCAGTTGCCATGATTCAACTTCCAGATTAACCATTGTCATTTAGTGCAAGTTATGTTATACCGTAACATTTTTACATGACAGTCAAGAGTCACCTTATTTTCTTGTTTAGTGAATAGGTAAAGGTAAAGGTTCCCCTTGCCATTTAGTCCAGTCGTGTCCGACTCGAGGGGGCAGTGCTCATCCCCATTTCCAAGCCATAGAGCCAGCGTTTGTCCGAAGACAGTTTCCATGGTCACGTGGCCAGCGCGACTAGACATGGAACACTGTGACCTTCCCACTAAAGTGGTACCTGTTGATCTACTTGCCTTTTTACATGCTTTCAAACTGCTAGGTTGGGAGGAGCTGGGACAAGCAATGGGAGCTCACCCCGTCGTGTGGATTTGATCTTACGACGGCTGGTCTTCCAACCTTGCAGCACGGAGGCTTCTGCGGTTTAACCTGCAGCACCATCCACGTCCCTATGTCTAGTGAATAGTACCACAAAATACTTCAACATGTCATGTGGTTCTTCATCAATGAATACGAGGACAAGTAAAGCAAGGATTTACATCCCTAATTAAAGGATGCATGCAAAAGTGAATGTTGCTGAGTGAGGTAGTGGATAGA